GTCACCTTTGATAGGTTTGGGAGTAAATAAGATATGTGTAGACTTTTAATGCAATCACTTTTTTAAAATAAAACCTGCTCTTTTTCATCAATTGGCCATGTTTATTAATATAAACTGGAACAACTATTTGCGTTCATACAAAACTAAAAAATACTTGTATTCTCTCTATTAAAAAATATAACGTATTTTCTGAATGGTTGAATGTCTAAAATTATAAGGTATATTTAGTATGTTAAGGTATAATTAATGAGATTTTTTGAAAAGTATCCATAATAAATAAATAAATTATTTTATGTTTATTTTAAAGCAAAGCATCTTATTAAAAAGAATAAATATGAAAAATAGTGTTAATTAAAAATAAGTAACTAATTTATTAGAGTAAAATTTGAGTTAAAATGTGTTATATATTTATTTAAGGGAGTATTATTTGCATAATTTTTCAGTAGAATATTAATTGTTTTTTTAAAAAAACCTTACTTAGCTTCTTCATTTAGTACCTGCCGTTGGATTATGAGTACGTTTAATTGTTTGAACCTAAAATTAAGAGTAGCGGGCCCTTTTTATACTTCAACACTTGGAGTTTAAGCTCACTCCTGGAAGCTTCTTTGACTATCACGCTTTTTTATTTTTATTTTTTATGAGTGATATTTTAGAAAATTTTCTTAATCTTTTAAAAAGAAATGTAATATTTCGTTTTCCAACAAAATTTTTTCCACATGTCAATTTACTTTGTTCTTTAATTTGAATTCAAGAGCAAAATTTAATAAAGCCTCAAACGAGCAAATAGAAGTTATTCTCAAATGTCTGAACCGATTTTGTGAGGTGCTAGGATAGAGAATGAATTACGCCAAGATTCGTGGTTGCGCATAAAAAAAATGTTCGCTTCTCTAGATCTTGTGCTTTAAGTCAAAAACTTGGATTCACTCTGACGGGTGACTTGGGGAAATGCTTAGGTATTCCCCTTTTTCATAAAAGAGCATCTTCGAGTGACTTCAATTCTTTACTGACAAAGGCAGAGAAAAAACTAATTGGGTGGAAAGGGAGATTTTTGAACTTGGTTGGACGTACCTCATTGCTCAAAAGCTGTCATTTTCGCCATGTCAAGCTACTATATGCAAAGTATGCTCGTTCCTGAAAAAAAAAAAAATACTTGATGACGTTAAAAAGCTTAGTAGAGGATTTCTACAAGGGAGTGCAGAAAAGAGCAAAAAATCACACCTCCTTGCTTGGGATAATATTGTTTGCATGAAAGGTGGTAGTAGCCTGAGAGTTAAAAGTCCAATAAGACAAAATGAAACTTATGTTTTGATGTTGTGCTGGTCATTAGTAACTCAACCTCATAAACTTCGAGTTTAGGTACTTAAGGAAAAATACAAATTTGGTAATGAACGGAACACTCAAATGGTTGGGGGAAAAAAAAAAGAAACGCCTTTTTGATATGAAAAAGTGTGATTATGATTTAGGATAATTTTATAGTAGGCCCTGGAACAAAAAAGGCTATGACAATAAATACCTTATTTTGGATTGATGTTTGGTCTTATGTTAATACTAGTTTAACAGCCTTCGTTCCAAACCTTATGGGGCTATTAGCTTTAGAGGAGAAGGCGACTAATTACATTTTGCCATCAGGGGACTAGAGTAAGTCAAAGCTAAATGTTTTGCTCTCTTCTAATGTTATGAAGACACTTACTCGCACTAGTCCTAAAGTTAGCTTGAGAGAGAGAGACTATTTTATTTGAAAGTCTGGTAATAATAATTATATTTCTATTAGATCCGCCTACCCTTTTTTGAATGCAAGCTTGTCAAGGGATGCAACCTTTAATTGGAATTTAAATTGAAGCCTTAAAGAGTTAAAGTACCAGAACAAATGAGAATGTTTTTATGGTTTATGGCTTATCAAGCTGTGCACACTACAAAATTGAGACAACAAAGGAGACTTGCTGAATTAGACATGTGTCATCCAGCTATATATATATATATATATAAGATGAAATCCATCTGTTTAAAGAATGTGAAGGAGCGAAAACTACTCGAGAACATTTAGTTAATAGTGATCAGTGGCTCAATTTGAACAATAGGAATATTTATCAATGGCTTAAATGGAATATGGTGAATTAAGCTAGTAGGCCCTAAACGAAAAGCATACAGTTGAGACTTTGTTTGCCCATGTTTTTTGGAAATTGTAGGTAAATAGGTGTAATTCAATTTCTAGAAATGATGTGTAACGTGTCGCCAAAACCTGTTTATACAAAGCGGTCCAAGATGAGAAACTTTTGGAGAGGCTTTATGCACATGGAGGAAAGACTTCCCCTCACTTACTACCAGATGAGAGACTAACAAGTCCTTATAAGCTTGAGGTATTTTAAGAAATCACAGGTGGAGGTTGAGTTACTAGTACGGGCATCATTTGGAATAGTGTTAAGGAATGGGATGTGCGTTTTTTTTTCCCAACAATGACTCATACGGTTCTAGTGAAGTTGCTGCCCTTAATGCACTGTTACGAGGTCACTCTGCTGGGCCAAGGTGTACCATACTATTGAAGTAAGAGTTCATCGTGCTCATAGTTATAACATGATTACTAAATTTTCTGAATTTCACTGCCCTTGTCTGTCAATCTCGAGCGATATCAAGGAGATTACGCTAGGGGACTGGCGTTTCTCTTTAAGTTATGCCTGCAATGATAATGGTCATCTTAATTCTCTTTTAAATATTGGGTCCATTAGCGTTGATTCTTATGGTTTCTTTAATCACCAACCTTTTTTAGCTCTAGAAGAGGTGGATGGTGAAAGGTATTATATTTGGCTGTTTTGTTTTTTGGCCTTGTAATTTTATTTGTTTCTGTTAATATACAGCTCCAGTTTTCTTTCAAAAATTTTAGGAGCAAAATTAGCAAGTGGATTTTTTTAAAACAATTTTATTATTTTAATTAATTTATATTGGCTTTGGCAGTTTAATTAGATGTGACTTGTAAAAAAAAATTGATGAGTAATAATTATCTCAAAAACTATATAATTCAGTAGAAATATTTCCAAAACAAAAAATAAAAATATTTTTCAAATAAATTAGAAAAATCTATCAAAAAATAAAAACTCAAGTCATCCACCTGTGGCCAAAAAGGAAAAGAAAAGCAAGTCATCCTCCTAGGTTTAAGGATGGGCGTCACTTTCTCACCGGCAATGACGTCCTGGAGTGATGCCAAGTCCTTCACGTGAGATCAGTAGATTTTCGTACAAAATTGCCATCCTATTTCCTTTTTCTGGTTGCCTAAATTATCCCCACAATCAGTGAGATTAATGTTCTAGAAAATTTGAGCACTAAGAAACTATTTTTTTTTAAAGTAATGTTGTTCCATACACCTCTTCAAAAATTGAACCTTAAAATGATATTTAAATAGTCCGGAATCACCATCCTATTTCTCGAACCAAGCATTTTCATAATGCTATTTTATTTTATTTTTTTTAATTTTGGTAATGACAAATTTAAATTATATTTGAATAACTTTCTAACGTAAGTTTGGGTGTTAAAAGTTCATCTAAATATGTTTGGATGAAAACAAAAGCCATTGAGTGTTGAGAGGAGAAAGGGTGTTTTTAGCAAAGTCACCTCATGAAGCTTTCTAATAAGCGTTGAGATCTAGTGGAAAATGTTGGAGCATTTAATGATTTTTTTAATTGTTTTTATCACTCTTCTCTCTCTTCATTATCTTTATGAGTATTGATTAGTCGATCTCTTTGCTTCACCTTCATGAGTTTGAGCTCTTCACCTCCTTCTTATCGTCACAGATCTGACCTCCTCTCTTCTCAGCATCTCACAATACTAGTGTTCAACTCTCTAGTAGAAGGTGTTGGTTTCATAGACATCAGCAGTGGCTTCAGTAGAGCTAAGGCTGTTGACAGCAATTAGTAAGAGTAGAGATAGGAAGAAGACGACGACGACGGAAACAAAAATGAAAGGAATAGGAACAAAAGACAAGCGTAGATTTGTCATTGATGAATTGGTGGAGTGATAATAGTGTCTAGGTTTCTAAATAAAATTTAATAAATGTAACATAAAAAATATAATTATTATATATCAAAATAAGTAATTTTAATATTAAAAATGATTTCAAAAAATTAGCCCTGCCATTTTTACTAAAAAATGCAAATAATATTACATTTTATGTCAATTTAAATATTTGATAAAATAAATAAAAATAATGTACATAATAAAATTGAAATATCTTTTTTGGGCTAGCAAATTAAAACATTTAAAATTTAGATTTGAATTTTAGATTTTAAATCTCATATTTAAAATTTTTATATTTAAAATTTACTGGATGATCAAAGTGGATATATTATATTCGTGATATAATTAGAGATTAACTTGTAGATCATATAAATTAAATATTTTATAATTTATAAATTTATTTTAACTTTTCATAATTAAATATTTAATATTTTTTACTTATTAATTGTAATTTTAAATTTAATATTTTTTTACCTACTCCCTTCATTAAAAAATGTACGGCATTTTTTAAGAATTTTAATGTTAAAAAATATAAAATATTTTTAATTTTTTAAGGTGTAATCATTATTTTTTTTCAAAGGTGCCTCTATTAATGTTGACTTTATATTTATTATAAGGTGTTTAATAGAAATAAATATAAAAAGATAGGATTAATTTAAAAGTAGGTAATAATTTTATTAAGAAGTGAGATTCGATTAAAAATATCTTATATTTTTAAATGAAGGAAGTATCAATTAGTATATATATATATATAATTTAAATTTATTTTTATTGTTAAATATCTTAATTGACTTTTAAATTAAATCATCTTAATAAATTATAATTTATCTAACCAACTTCTAAAATGAAAAAATATTTAAACATAAATAATATTATATTCACTAATTTTTTTAATTTTAATTTGCTAACCTCAAATCTTAATTTTAATTACAAATTTTTTAATTCAAACACGATGATGTTGGCTGATACTTAATGCAACGCCGCCAAACAAGCATAATGTCCAATTAGTGTTGTTCTCTCTCTCCCCCCGTCACCCAGAGAGAGAGAGACCAGGTCCCTGTCCCTGTCTTCACTGTAGAGACTCAGCCTCGGTTGTGGACAAGTAAAGCAATGTACAAATCGCAACTGCAAGAGCTGTGCCACCGGCGATTATGGAACTTGCCGGACTATCAGATGACCAAAGAAGGACCCGTTCACAATCCTCGCTATAGTGCTAACATCATCATCAATGGGGTTGAATTTCAGACGCCGTCGCCTTGCAGAACCTCCAAAGAAGCCCAAAATAATGTAGCCAAGCTCGCATGCGAGCACTTCTCTCACCCAAAGTCCGAACCTTCTTCCTCTCCCCTGGCTTCGAATTCTTCTTCTGTTCCTCAATCTTCTCTGCCTCAGCCTTCGTTTCCGCAGCCGTCTTTTCCGCCAACTCCGTTTTCTCTTCCGCAGCCTTCAGCTCCGACATCTACTGGTTCGTATATTTTTTATTAGTACTCTGACAATAATCCAATTTTTTAATTCACTCAAAAAGAAGAAGAAGAAGAAAATAAACCAATTTTAGTAATTTCCCATTTGAGTTTGGGATTGATTGCTTGTTAGGTTTACGAGAGATGCTTTGTGAAGAATGATACAATTACAAATCTATTCTTTTTGGATAAGTTGTCCCTAACCCTTATTTTATTTCGAACTTAATTAACTATCTTAAAGGAATCAGAATGCCTAAATTCAACCTTCTTAGCATGGACTTGTAGAACTGTCACATATATTTGAGCCCTCCAGTTTCATACTTTTCCACATCTATGAGGTGGGGATTCTTGGTTGGGGGTGAGGGGTAATTTTTGCATACTTCTGCTTTGCTTGTCTAAAATGTGAGTTATATTTTCACCACTGCATGAAAGATTCATGTTGATTTGCATTCTATTTACAGCTTCATCTTCTCCAGCCATTGGTGTTGTTGAGACACTTTACAAAAAAAATGTGACAAAACCCGAGGTGCCAAATGCATCCCAACCGATTGAGATGAAAATGCCTATCGCATCAGAAAAAGATAACATAACAACTGGGAATCAGAAGAATGATTCAAGTATGCCTCAGTTTCTCTTCTGTTACTTTCATAGCACTGACATTTTAACGGTACTATAGGTCAAGGGAGATAGTTTCCTAAGGGTTGGGTGTGTGAATGAGGGAGACTAAGTTTGTTTGCTACTGACTTGACTGATTAAATAGCTTGGACGTGATTTTTCCTCTTAATAGAAGTTGGTGTTGCTGCTTCAATTTCAGTTTCTTAGAAGTTATGATAAGTGATAGCTTTTGCTGTTAATGGTATCCATTTCCTATCTCATGCATTGATGGATCCTAGTTTTTAATAGCAATATTGAACATGATATAGCTTGTAGCTATTTGTTACTAGAGCTTATGCTAAGCCAATGGTGTTAGGGCACAATATTTTTTCATATAGTGCAGTTAAAGTGAGCACTATTAGTGATATAGAAGTCGCTTTTGTGGTGTTTATTATTTGCGCTGTATGGGAAACATACTTGCATGTAAAACTCTAACACGATTGAGAGCAATATACAATGACACCGCCATCTACTATGTCCAAAGATAAAGGGTGGAACTCTGTCTTTATCGAGGACAGTACTGGTGGCCACTTCTTGTATGATCCTCAGGCAGTTCTCTCTATCATCTTCTCTTTCCCACCTTTTCTTTTCCTGACACGAGAAAGCTGATACACATGGGAATATATATCTGTTGTTTAAGTGAAAAGGAGGAGCCTATTTGAGATCTCCTAGGAAACCTCCAAGGAAATGGATGACTGGATGTGATTTCTGGAGGCAAAGCTCTTCATAATTGGTCCTTTGATATTTTGCTAATTATGGTTTGCTCTCCTTGTTTTCAGTTTTCTATTTTTGTTCTTTGTATGAATGGTTTAGTAGAGGTTTACTTCTTCCAAAACAATGATTGTTGCTTTCAGCAGAAATGATTATAGCAGAGGCTAGAAAGCATTGATTTTCATTTCAACTTTTTTCACGCTCATGCTTTCTCTCTGTTTTGCATATATGGTTGAAATTAATGGCTGAATGCAATGAAGAACAATTTTGCATGAAGAGAGAGATATCAGATCTCTCTAGCTTATGCTGGTGGCAGCAACAGCCACACACACACACACACACACACAGAGCACGCATCCAACACTTTTATATTCACACAAGGCACAAAATAATGCATTTGATGGCTAGCAATCCCATTTCTTTTTGTATTTGCTATATTGATGAAACTTTTGATGACAGTGTGGATCTGTGAAGTTCGAATAATAATAGGAGAAAACATGAAGTTGATACTAATGAGATAACTTTTTGGCTAGTTATCTTTTCTCTCTTATAGCACCATGTTCTTTTCTAATGACAAATCACTCTCGGACTTGTGACTTTGACAGTGAGTTCTGTGATAGACATGCAGCGTTTGTATAAGAATCAGCTACAAAACTATTCTCAAAAAAGAAACCTAAATCTGCCTGAATATTCTACTGAGCGGGAGGGTCCTCCTCATGCCAGTCGTTTTAAGTGTAAAGTCACAATAGATGGGCAAACTTTTGAGAGTCCTCAATTTTTCCCTACATTGAAGGATGCTGAACATGCAGCTGCAAAAGTTGCTCTGATGTCATTGCAAGTTGCTGGAGCTCAAGAGGCTAGTTTTTAATCACTTGTGGTCACTAGTTAACTCCATCACTTAGCTTTTAGAATTGCCATTTAATGTGCTTCTCTCACCCACATGATTTTTTTAACTTTTAGGATGATATCGGCTTATACAAGAACCTTTTACAAGAACTAATTCAAAAGGAAGGACTTCGTTTACCTGTTTATAGCACTACTAAATCTGGGGAGGCTCATATGCCCACATTTGTTTCAAATGTGGAGATAGAAGGAGTGCTTTATACTGGACAAGAAGCAAAAACCAAGAAACAGGCTGAGATGAGCGCAGCCAAAGTTGCTTACACAAATTTAAAAGAACGCAAAGGTATTTTCTTTTTGTTGATATTGTTTATCCTATGCCACTTTTAATACTTGTTTATCAATTTGCAGTCACTCATCTTAATTTTTACTCCTAATAAAATTGTTCATGAATATTGATTGTTTGATGTCTTAATTTTATTTTGGATTAAAAAAACATATTAAAGAAAATGAAAGAAGTGCAAGTTTGCAACAATGGAGGTAATAAATCCTCCTGGAGCAAATGTAACAGGAAAATCAACAAGAGAATTAATAGGAAAAGCATAAGCTCAAGATAGCTCACTGATAAGAGACCAATGCTGACTTATTCTAAGAGGAAAAAACAAAAACTGAAATAAGTTATTATTTAAGTTATTGTGTATTGTTATTCATTTGAATTTTGAATTGCTCGGTTAGAGTGATTTTAGGAGTAGAATAAGGGAACATAACCCTCTGTTGTGGTTAGTCAGGGATGTCTAGCTGTTTGAGTAATTTTTGGAGACTTTATTCTGTTTCAGATATTCAGTTTTTGTAATCAGCTTTATATATGTGCTAGTTACGTTGAAGGCTACTCAGTTTTACCCATTGGAGATTCTCCACACTTTTGGCTATTAAGGAGTTATTAAGTGAGATTCTTGCTTGATAATTTCTTATTAGAATTTCTCTACTTCATCTAATTTCCTAATCAGTTAGACTCTTACCACTCTCCAACCCCTCTTAAATCCCGAAGGAAAACCCCTCCATAAAAGCCATGATTTGAAATAGTAAGTAAAAGCACTTATATCCTATTCCCATAAGAGATGGGGAGGAAGAAACTAGATTCCCTAATCGTGTTTATTTATGAGTGAAGGATTTAACTTGGGGCTTAATATGCACCCAGAAACGATCTTGTGTAACAATGATGATTTCTTAGTTGTGAGCGCTGGGAATCTTACTACAGCTTAGCCTTTCCCTTTGTTTATCAAGTTCTCAGCCTTCTCTATACTTTTATCCTCCAAATAATCTCCAAGCTATAAAAGATTCTTCATTTAACTATTTCTAAAGATGATACGAGCTGATATCATCATCTCTGCTTAAATACTACTCATTATACTATTGCCTTTTCTTTCAGGTAAGCTAAATCAGAGCTCTTTGATTCAGCCCCCTCCTCATCGAACAAAGGCTCCTGCATTGTCATCTTGCAGCTCAGAGTCAACTGTCCCAACTCACCAACACCATGCCAATTCAAAGTCTCCTATTAGTTATAACCCTAACTCGGTGACTCAGAACCAATATCAGGACAAGGGTAAGTCCCATTCAATGCCCCTTGCAGTTTAGAATTTTTACTTTCTACATTAAAACTCTCTCTCTCTCTCTGTGCACCTCCTTAACAATGAAAAAAGAATATTGAGTTGTCTTAGAAACTGATGTTCAGTGTGGAAGACTAGTGCTTGTATCAAGGCTAGTCCTCTATTGACTGTAGATTAAAAATTATATGTTAGGATTATATCACAAATGTTAAAGTCTGCCAAAACTATCAACTTTGCACCATCAATTGACTTCACGAGTCCGGTAGTTTAGGGACTTTATCAACTGTAATTTTTGGCTTGAAGGAAGGGTATTTGCTAGATAATAGAGGATTAGAGACACAAAAATAGAAAGAATCGTTTTATAATATAATATCCATGTAGGGGTTAGATAATCCGCTTCAACATGTTATGAGGAGTGTCAATTCGCATGTAAGACGGGATTTGCATTTCAAATGACATTGAATTTAGCTAAACATATAAGACAGAATTGAAACGAAATAAACCATTTGAAACAAAATTGGTAGGGACTTATGTTTGTCTCTATGTCTAAGGAATAAGAACAGTTAGACCAAATACATGAAATTACATGCTTATTTTTTGTGTCCTGCGAAGTTGTGCTTTCTCTTTTGATTTGTGAAGGTGATATTTATAGGGACCTCGGGAGAGTTAATGATAAGAACTGACAAATAATTATCAATTCATCTGTTAGTCTTAGGCGTCCTTTAGTAGTTCTTTTCAACAAGTTGAGATTTATTTCTCCTGGAAGCCCTCATGTATCAATGAATTCAAGTCTCACTAGAACTCTCACTGTGAATATAGCTACAGATTGCGCTGCAGAAGTTAAAAGCTATCACACTGCTCACCCATTTTCAGAACACGTCACAGTTACAAGTGGCAGAGATTCTGCTTCATCTGAAATTACTACTGGCCGTGTAGAAACCGCTTACATATCAAATGTCCAGTCTTCACCTTCACTCTCTAAGAGCGACAATTTGGCAAGAGGCTCAGATGGCAAGCCTTCAAGTGCAGCTAACACCTCAACCTGCAAAAAGGTTACTGTTTACTCACGCAAGACAAACGTCGAGATTGCTTCAGGGGGCACTGTCTTGTCGATAAGTGACGAGAACTGGGTTGCTTACTCCTATCCTGAGTGAGATTTGCGAGGTGCAGGCTCAAACTGGCATCATAGGTTGGAAGCGAACCGAATTGAAACAAATACTAAATGTGCCGTGGTTATTGCCAGAGGTTTGCTTTTGACTATGATGTCTCTATTTTTGTTCTTAAACATCATTGTAATTACCTTGTCAAAATAATAATGAGGGTAATCATGGGGATTACAGGTCATAATTTTTCTATCCTTGGCTCTGAATTACAGGTCTAGGTTAGATTTTGTAAAATAATGCTTCTTGTCGTCAGACACTCCACCCTTATTGAGCACATTTTAACTTGTACAAAATCATGACATCTTCTGATTTTTTTTTAATCCTTGTGTTTTTTTTTTTTGACCAAAGTTTTTAATCCTTGTGTTTGATCACCATAAAAATTCAGATATTTCTCATATTTCGTTTAAAAATACTTCGAACAAAAACATTAAAAATTGCAAATAAATTTGCCCCTTCTCCGAGCAGTGTCGTCATAATCAAGCATAATAATATATCTCCATGATTAGAGCTACAAAATTTTGATGTGATCAAAAATACAAAATCACATCAGAACTCCTTCTAAATTACGAAGGGCCTTTTTAGCCAACTTAAATTTTGGAGAAAGAGCTTTATTGGCTTTCAAAATGTACTCCTTAACAAAGAACTCAATACCTTGTCTTAGACTCTCAAGCTCAGGGGTCACTGCAACGCGGGTGAACATGTTCCACACTTGGCTATCCGCATACTCAAAAATGGACTCAAATAACATGCGGAAATGCATGATCTTTTTTGGAGTTAACTGGGTGATGTCACCTAGCTCAATAGTCTTCAAAATCGCGAGGGAGAGCGTGAAAGATGCAACCATTTCTGCCACAAATTTTGCCAGGTGCATTGACCTCATCAGCTGCATTGACTCGAGCTCCTTAAAGTGGTCCCAAAGGCAAAACTGTAAACAGAAATCAGCAAAAATATATTAAATTGAACCAAATTCCACTTTCAAAGATTAATATTACAAGGCAAATTAAAAGGCAATTCTTTTTATACGTTGGCAAAAAGGGGGGTAATAACCTGTAGAGTGAACTTGTGATTTTTATCATGCTCACACAACTTGGAAGCCAAAACAGTATAATACTTGTTAAAGACCTTCTCCTGTAAGCAGCACTCCAAAAGAACTCGCATAATCTCTCGGTCCTGTAAATACATGAAACAATTACATAGCACTAGTTAAAAGGCCTCATAGCTACAGTATGACACAAGTAAGCTATGGAAAAGGCCAACCTGCTTGCCAGGTAAATCCAGTCTTAGAAGCTTCTCAAATGCATCAATATAGTCCTCCCCACTCATTATTATACAAAAGATTGCTCTTCTAGCATCTGTGTTCATCCTTTGAGCAGCAGCGAGCTGCAACATTCGTTGCGTTTCAAGAACATCTTTGTCTATACTGTTGGCAACTTCCACAACATTATCTGTCGCAGAAGCTGCATCCCCAGACAACCACCACTGGCCTTTCTTGTCAGGTTCAAGCAGCTTATTCCATTTAACTCCTCTAATCAAAATATCATCCACTTTTAGCTGGAACAAGTATTAAGAAAAATAATAAGCTATCATTCATGAATGGCGTTTAAATAGGAAAACAGAGATTAAACCCCAGATAAAGTTTTCAAGTAAACATCACTTTTTTCCAAGCAGAAGTATGATAAAGCTGAAGATACAAAGCAGATTTACAAATCTTTTCCTAGGCCCTATGGCAGATTTTATGGGAAGGGAAAAGGGTGGAGGAAAGAGTAACACCAGGGGTCAAGAGACTTGTCCCAAGGCTTTTAGCCATAAGGGTAAAAAGGTGACGCTGATAGACAAGTAAGGGTAGGTGCAGCCAAAGGTAGGGGCAATGTTGGTACGGGTAATGACCACTCATGACCAGTATTGCTTCTGGGTTGTAATGTATTGATGTGTAATTATGTAGTCTGTTCCGCTTCTTGTATTTCTGTCTGTTATTTGATAGTAAATTCTGTAATTTGGTTGTATGAGGGACATGGGCTTGGCTTAAATAATCATTTCCCTTGTAATCTGATTTAGTTATGCAGTAATGGCATTATCAATCTTTATTCCCATTCTCTTGTTGTCTATTTCTGGTTTTAGTCTTGATATCAGCTTGTTATAGTAGTAGGTCCTATCAAAGTATAGGAAAGGGACATCACCAATATGTGACAAAAGCAAGTGAGCCACTAGACATGTCGTCAAGGATAAAAAGTAAAATACGAACCCACTCATAAAGAGTGAAAAGAAGTTCACTTTGAGAAGAAAAAAACTCAACATCAGAAATAACAGAGATCATTTGTTATAAAACATGGTCTTGAGACCGTCAAACTAGGTTTGAAGACATATAATATAATATAATAAACAAACTCTAACCAGCCAAGCACAGAGCATTGGATCACCTATCGTCTTCATTTCTCACACATCCAAAAATCAACCATATTGCTAGCATCTAGGTATGCAATCATACAGCACTACTACAAATAAAATCCTTTTGGTGTCTCCAATAGCAGAGGAGCATTTGCAAGAAGGAAACTTGCAGAAAAATTTTCCTCAGCTGACCAAGCATGCTCAACGAGTACACCAAATAGCAATCAATGTAACAGAAACACCAGAACTAGATGCAAGAATTAATCTTAGAAAACCAAAGGAATTTCGAGAATAAACAAGGCTTCCAAAACATTCAGACTAGAGAATGGTACCTTCTGTAGCCACTTCTTAATCCGTGTGTGATGGGCAGGGTCCTCTTTCGGCCTTTTCTTGTTGTTCTTGATGTCGCAGATAGTTTCAAGCATAAATTCCATCTATAAGTGTTACTAAATAATCAGTTCCAGACTGTGTCCACAAAAAGTGAAGGCAATTTGATAATAGAGCATAGCATGCTCACTCTTTTACTATATATCTTTTCCTGGCCGCCACCACCAGAAGCCTTCAACTCGTTTGTCCTTTTCTGAACGCTCACAATAAAATCTTTCATGGCAGCAGGATCATCAGCTCTAATTTTCATCCCACAGCCTATTTAAACAAGTTGAAGTCAGACAACAGGGGGTTCACTATTCCAGCAACTTGCTATGCAAATAATATTCATACTATGACATCATTTCAGACATCAGTTTCTGGACTAAAACAACCAAGAAAGGTGAACAAAACCAAATGCGCATGCGTATTATGAATAAAAAAAAAACCAAAATAAAAATGAGTACAATTCAATAACAATATTACGCTAGCCAGATGAGTGGAAGAATTTCCTAGCTCATGCCTCCACATTTTTAGGAGTGCATTTCTCCATTCTTTAAGGGAGTAATTGTATTTTTGACAAAGTACTAGGAAAAAATATCAAGAAAAGTAATCACTTAAAGCACATGTGAAATTGACATCTGGTATATGAAAATCTGAACATATTACAGTTCTACATGGACTGGAAAGCATTTGAAAGTACAAGGAGCCGTACCACTTTCCAACATAATTATTTTGTCAAAAAATTGCATTAAAAGCAGGCCCAACTCAGGACTTTCAATAAATGAATTGTGCCCATGTAGATGTCTTAATGAGTTATTTGAATACGTTTACACCCCTAGCAGTTCTATGTAAGATTAACCCAAACCAAACATGTGCAACTTAAGAGATCATCTATTTAAAAAAAGAAAAAAAAAACTTACATTGCAACACTGTCAAAATGGTAGAAACATCGACCTCTGTTAACTGCTTACTCAGCATGATAAGGAAGTCATATACTAAATCACTGAATTGCAAGACATGATTGTTAGGAAAATATAGTTGAGAAGGATAGAGAACAAAAAGCTGTCATAATGAACTCCATCAAGCAGCAGCTCATTAGAGCAGAAACACAGAAATCCATCAAACTCAGAGGCACTGAAAAAGCGACACCTGATATTTCCAAAACATGTTAAATCACATTACAGTAGCTTTATTCTTGCCAAATAATGATAAAAGTTGAAATTTTGAACCACAAGCAAAATCATAGCTGATAGCCAACTGTCTACTCCATAGCCTGATTTTATAAGTTACAAAAGAAGATCACAAAAATACATGCTCTTCTGTTTTGCATATATAAGTGCATCATGCAGTTCAGTCAATTCACCTTGAGCAGACCCCAAATATGCACAAATAGCATAGGAGAAGAGTGAGATTTCGCAGTGAGAGATTGTCTTCCTTATCGTATTCATCCTGCGGGAAGGCATAGGAAATTAGAAGTGTCATATTTAAAACACTGCAATGACTATGACAGGTCAATTGAAGACTTGAGAAGGATCTAAAATCCACAAATCTAACCAGTAGGCAAAATCAGCAATATTATAAATTTATTTATTTATTTAAATGCTATACCTCAAAGCATTTGGCAAAGGAGGCCATAAATTTTGCGCTGAAATCAACACCAACCAGGCAGGCCATCCCAGCAACAAAGGCCGCAAAAACAGCAGCATACCTTCACAGAAGAGGGAAGAAAAAAATTTATCAGCAACATCTGAAAAAAATGCAGAAGAGAAAGCTCAACGCATCAAACTAACTTTCTGGTTTCATCAAATAAAATAACCAGAGTATGTAGGCTAAGAAACTACAATATAAGAAATGTATCCACTACAATACTGGCATGTCAATCTAATATAGAAGCAACTTCTCATACAATTCCTGCAGTGCCAGATTTAAATTTTCATTGGAACCTTATACAGAGTATATCAAACAGAGCATTTAGCAGGGTCCAGGATAGGTTTCAATCATAACTATGAGACCGCAATATAAGAAATATATCCCCTGCAACAGTGGAACTGCAATATATAAAAGCAAATTCTCATACAATTCATGCAGCATCAGATTTAAATATGAAGCATTACTTGAGGTTGAGAGTTTGATTCTTGTCACCCCTTTCTCGAGGCACATGCATAGGGGGTGGTAGTAGATTTTAATATTATAACACTATTAATGGCCTTTTAAGTAACAACTCGTGCCTTTTGAGTTGAAGACAGTGGTCATAGACCACTGTAACATTCAAATCCCAACAGGAAAGTGCAAAGAAATTAAAGACAAAAGAATACCCCACGTGATATTTACATAAGCCACAAAGCAGCCACTTCAGCCTCCAACATTAATTATTCAATAACATAAAACACGACACAAAATGCCAGCAGAGAACCCCGCAAAAGAATTTTTTACTATTCAATAACATCAATGTCATTCTCCACCAGGTATTTTGCAGCCATGTTTTCTCTACTCATTTATACAAACTACATTCACAGCCTCCTTTTCAATGTTACCATTTTTCATATTTTAACTCTTCCTGGCTGAAGCATCTGCATCCCAACAAGAGTCAGCATCATTCACTACCATCTCATCCCAATGTTCTACTTGGTAACAAACGCGTATCTTTCCTCAGTGAAACAACGGTACTTGACATATATTCCCACCCAAGAATTCAACAATTAAATGAACTTTGATAAGAGAGATCAAGAACACTACAGGAAAACATAAAAGGCATAAATTCTTAACTGTTCATTGCCACGAGGACCTCCAGAACAAGATGCCAAAATCTCCTCACTGATTATCTGTGAAGCAGCACTTCGAGCAATTGTCTGTAAAGCAATGTGTTAAAGAGTAAGAGATGAAATTTCAGAAAGTAACCACTTTCATTCATGCAAGCAACTAGGGAGGAGAATCAACGTTTCAAAACAGAGATTAGAAGCAGCCAAGCTTATACAAACTGCATTGCTTCAAATGCAAATACCCCAAATTTAACATCCAGCAACAACAAGCCTCATCCCACTAAGTGCAGTAAATGTAAATCCAAAACAAGAAATAATTATTAATCCTACTAGGAAAGGAATGAGACTTCTCATAAAAGGGAATGAATATGCCCTCCATTCCAAATCTATATTATAATTATGAGATGCGTAAATCCAACGAGTATAAAAACATTATAAAAAAAAAAAATTCTCCCCACTGAATCATGGGGCATCTTTATTTTTACTAAGCGAATGATATAAACAGTGAAAAATGTGTTCTATTTACAGAATTAAATAAAAAATACATTGGAAGGGTTAAAAAGAATGTATCTAACACTTCCTCAATTTATTGTCTTAGCTTTTTGCCTGTTCCTTTACCATTTCAAGAAGCAATAATATGCAATAATCTATTAAAAGAATAAGATAAAGAGTAAGCATCTGATTGATATGCATCCGTAGCAGTAGCACACCTGAAAAATCATGGAAATTTCTCCTGTGACTGATTCCACATTAGATTCAGAAAGCCTGTTAAGAAGACCTGAAACAAGTTCAATTTTAGATAAGAGTACTAATGATCGACAGGAAAGAAATGCAAAGTCAATTCAAAGTCCATCTTTCTTGCCTCGTATTCGCCTTCGAATCTGAGTATGCTCTTCAGGTTCATTTCCAACACATGCTCTCAAGTGAGGTGCTATGTATTTTTCATTAGTTTTTTTTCCTGGCACCAGAGAAGGAACCCACATCATTGCCGCTTCTTTTTCACCAGAATTGGCAGGCTTGGATACACACTTGGCAGTAGCATTCACATCACTACCTTCTTGCTGTTGTTTTAACAATTTTCCTTTCTTATGTTTCTTACTTGAGGGTGCACCAACAGGAAATTCTGTCAATCCAACATCTTGGTTAGAAGTATCTACAGCCCCTGAAATTTCAGTGATTGACCCTGCTTGTGGCCCTTCCTCTGACAATATGCCATCGTTAGCTCTATTTTTTGAAGATCTCTTCTTCCATTTTTTTGAGGGCATTTCAGCACCAGGGACTTCCCCTTCTCCAATGAAATCAACATTAGATGACATTCCATCAAGTAATATATTGAGACCATCATCCATACCCCTTAATTTTCCATCTTTCACCTTGAGCTTTTTGGCAAGTTTCCTTTCCAAATCTTGATCCTTCTTGGAAGCCATGGAAACATCTGTCACACCCATTTCATAGGATTCTCTGAACTTCTTCCTCCTGGCCTTCAAACTTTTATTCCCTTTCTTCATTATTATTGCAACAGAACCATGCCAACTCGTTGATTTTGACTCATTTGTAATTTCCTTTGACACTGCACAATCCTCAGATGTTCTATGTCTCCCAAAGTTGGAATCCGAATCATTAACTTTTGTTTCCTTTAAACTACAACTGAGCAAATGATTTGACTTGCGTGTAGTGTTTGCCTTTGAAGTCTGGTTACCTCTTTTCATTGCTTGAGATTTCTATTAGAAGAGAGTAAAATTAGACAGTTAAGAAATAAATTCTCAATATTTGGCGGCAAGGCATGACAGACAGAGAATAAAGATCTGTATGGGGGTTCTTGAATAAGTTAGGGAGAGGTGACAATTGTTCAGTGTTACTAAAGGAGTGGGTTGCTTTAGGGGAAAAGGAGAATGAGGTGGAATATACCCTATTTTAATCATCTCAATGCAGTTGAGAATAGAAGAATAAATGAAAAAAGAAAAGAAACACCCTTACAAACCATCAGTTTGAAAGGTTTTGGGAATTGGAGTTGGGAACCACCAGAACTCAAATTTTAGTTTCATCAGTATCTAAATGACAACTTCAGCATGTGAGCCATCATCACAATCAAGCCCTGAAATCTCAAAATGACAAACTTATACCTGGTGATGGAGCCAAGATTCATGTTTATCTGCCTTCTTTGCCAAGCGGGCCTCTTTTCGCCTTTCTCGACGTGATTTCTCATTCGTCTGTTTTGCTACAATGAGATAGATACAATTGAGATATTTTCCGTCTACCCCAATGCAAGTTGGAAACTTTGAAAAACTTCCAAGTAAAGAAAAAGAAAGATGTTAAAGAGCTTACCCATGTTCTACAGCCAAATTTCGCCAACAGCTAACTGCCCAACCAATATAAACAAGAAAAAAAAATCAAATTTTATTTAAGTTGCAAGAATTGTAGCACTAGTCGGAACAAGAGATAGTCTGTGAAAAAGGAAGGGAACGACAACCTTCCGGTGACCACAAATAATTTTGGGGAAAATAATTATAAACTGCAGTGAAATGGACTACTTTTGCTTATGAGTTCATTGAAAAGTGTAAAGAGTGAAGGCCTGAAGAGTACGGATGTGAGCCGGCCAGCGACTATGTGGCCTGTCTAAGGCTTTTTTCTAGGCTTAGTCTCGTTTAAAGGCCTCTTTAAAAAAATCCAATGATATTGTTTTGTTCTATAATTTTTGCTCAAGATATCCTGAAGGAACCAAAGGGACCGAAGCACAGTCACAGAATTGTTTTCAATTCAATTCATATATGAGTGCTCTAGGATCTGGGTCTAACAGTACCCACAATTAAAAATCAAAGCCACCAAAATTTAGTGTTCCAAATGCTTGCTTTCTCTCCATCACACTGCCCTCCGAAATATGAATCACTGGCACAAAAATTTACAATCAAAACTCCCATCTTTCACACAAGCTGATAAAACCAATCACCAAACACTCCTCTATCTAGACCTCTAAAATCAATAACACCACAAAGGGAGAAGAAGAAAGCGGATCACACTTACACTACCAAAGACTGCGGGGGTGAGGTCGTCTGGCTCTGACGGACTGAGAAACTAAGAGGCGAACTAATGGAGTGCGTGAGGTGAGGCCGTCTTCCTGACGGCGTGTGACTGTCTGGAGCGGAACCGCGGAGCGAGAGCAATAGACGGGCGTCGTGGATGAGTCGCCGACCGAAGGTCATGGCGCGGGTGAAGGAGTAAGGTCAAGACTCAAGACCCGTTTAGGAAATTCGGCTACTTGGCTATTTCACCTAAATTTTATAATATAAATTCGCGAATTTATGAATAAATAAATTAATAATTAAATTTTTTTGAAAAAATTAGTGAAAAAGACATAGTTGGAACCAAAATTGTGCTCAAGGACCAAAGTATATGGAAGGACCAAGTCTATTATTTCATTCATAAAATAATTTGATTAAATGATCAAAATGCCCCTCTATGTTAATTAAAAAAATTAAGAAAAAGGCACAAAATCTGGTCGCCAAAGCTTCGATGACCTCTGGCTAGAGCTCCAATAATTGACAGCGCGTTTGTCAAAGCTCTTGTCGGTAGGTGAAGAGTTGCCGGAAAATGTTGCTGAAAAAATTCAAAACCCTTTTATTGCATGTAATCATCAAGAATACATGTAAACTCAACAACCAAAAGGTGTCAGGCTTCTGACTTAGAGTACAAGGTTTCTGGTTCAGGTACAAGGCATCTGGCTTAAGGTGCAAGGCAACTGGCTTAGACAATTACATGTAATCTCTAGCGAATTATATGTAAATCAAATACACAAAGTGTCACACCCCAAAATATCAAATGTGACAGGCATGAAATACAAGATTAACCTTGCTTTGCAAGTCTAATCAAAATACATGTTCCTAATTATATTTGGAAAAAATTATACACTTTGGCGGTGCAAATTCAAATAATATTATAATACTCGTGACTTTTTTAAATATTTTCAATAATTTTTAAAATAAAATATTTAAAACAATTAAACAGCCAATTTAAAGAGAATACAAGAATTATTTCCTTAATCAATAAATAATAAAAACAAAGAGATGGATACCTTACCTTTTGTTTGGAACAATTATCAAATATCACAAGACGATAATTCAAATTTCACATAAATTTAACTTTACAATCATTCATCATGGGAATCTACTTTATAATGCAGAAGAAGGAGGTGATGGTTTCCAATATCTAAAATACAAACAATTCAATAAGTACATAATAAATCAACATGCACAAACATATATATTCCAAATCATGTCATTTCCTCAAGACTACAAGATAATACTTCAAATATATATAAACATAGACATATATAAATATTTATTGACACAATGCTAACAATATAAAACCAAAAAAAAAAATATTCTTATCAACAAGTGTATTAAACATGCTTTCAAACTCATTATAGTAATAACATAAATTTTGTTATAGTAATCATGGGATCAACTTATCCAAAAATTCATAATAAAAATTCCTTTCCAAAAACAGAAATTTAAAGAAGAAAAAGAAAACATATTTTTATTTTTCTTTTAAAACAAGTTCCTTAGAGGAATTCATACAGCTTGAGATTTATGTCATGGCACACAGCCCATGTGGGTAAATCACCAATCCAGCATGGCTCGTAGACCATGAGAAATAGGTGTGGTGCACAGTCTACAAACGTAAGTAATGAATCCAACGCAGTTTAAAGCCACGAATATCAAGCACAGCTCAAAGGCTATAAATAACAGACGTGCTGCGTTTGGTTCCTCTCCCAAGTATGTCAGAAATCAATTTTTTTTCAATATATAAAAATTTTTACTGTGAAAGAATCCAAACAATGTCCACAAGCCATTTTTCCAAACTTTCTTCTATAGACTTTTTATGTGCTAGTAGAAAATTTCTTTTAGAAATAAAAAGATTTTCATTATTATAACAATACTTGCAAAAGTCTCAAATTCAAAACTCAATTTGTCACACTTAACCCAAAATAAACGTCACAATGAGCATTGCATTAAGTAAAAAAAATCACTCTATATTAAATTTTTTTTACAAGTTTCCATTAATAATTTAACAAGTAACCATCTGTAAAATGACAAGCTTTGTTACAAGCTAGCTTTGTAAAAAGCTTATATGAATTTGCTATTTTGTTAAAATTTTCTTGTCAAATTATCAAGATAAATTTTTAAAACTAGTAACGGGACTTGTGATTTTACAAATGGTTACTTGTTAAATTATCAATGAGGGCTTGTTAAAAAAAATTTATATGAAGTGATTTTTATAAATATTTACTTTTTGTATTATTAAAATTTTACATGTCAAAAGCTTATATAAGCTTATTATTTTGCTAAAATTTTCTCTTTGAATTATCGAGAGAAATTTTCAAAGTTAGTAACAAGACTTGTGATTTTATAGATGGTTACTTGTTAAATTATCAATGGAGATTTATTAAAAAATTTTACATGAAGTGCTTTTTATAAACTTTTTACTTGTTTTTATTACTAAAATTTTACATGTCAAAAGCTTATATGAACATGTTATTTTATTAAAATTTTCTTATCAAATTATCAAGAGAAATTTTCAAGGCTAGTAACGGGACTTTTGATTTCACAATGTTAAATTATCAATAGAGACTTGTTAAAGAAATTTTATATGGAGTAATTTTTTTAACTATTTATTTATTTTTATTACTAAAAGTTTAATGTTAAAAGCTTATATGAACTTGTTACTTTACTAAAATTTACTCATGAAATTATTAAGAAAAATTTTCAAAATAAGTAATGGGACTTGTCATCTCATAAATGGTTACTTGTTAATTTGCTAATAGGGACTTGTTAAAGAATTTAATATGGAGTAGTTTTTTTTAAACGTTTACTTGTTTTTACTACCAAAAGCTTATATGTCAAAAAGCTTATATGAACCAGTTACTTTACTAAGATTTATTTATTAAGAAAAATTTTCAAAGTTAGTAACGGGACTTGTTATCTCATAAATGGTTGCTTGTGAAATTGTTAATGGGGACTTATTAAAAAAATTTAATATGGAGTGATTTTTTAAAATGTTTACTTGTTTTTATTATCAAAAGCTTATATGTCAAAAGCTTATATGAACTGGTTATTTTACAAAAATTTACTTATCAAATTATCAAGAGAAATTTTTAAAACTAGTAATGGAACTTGTCATCTCACAAATGGTTACTTGTTAAATTGCTGATGGAGACTTGTCATTCCCAGTAATAAAAACAAGTAAGCATTTATAAAAATCAATGCATGTTAAATTTTTTAACAAGTCCCGTTAGTAGTTTAACAAGTAGCCATGTGTAAAATGACAAATAATCATTGAGCTCTTTGTAAATATTGACATGGAAAGTGGAAACAAAGTTAAATACATATATAAAGATTTGCAATATATAAATGAAAGGATTTATTTGCCTAGTGGCTAATTATTTTTTTAGTAGTTAAGAGGATATGGGTTCAAACCCCACCTTAGCCACTTTGAAAAAAATTAATCTGTCTTCCACACTGGCCGGAGCTCTAGCCAACAGTTAAGCCACCATTATTGGAGCTTCAGTGGCTTGTCCAATAAGGTGGTCCAATCACCATGCTGGAGCTCTGACAACAAATGATTGAGGAGTTTTTTTAAAAAATGAGGGGTAGTTTTGTCTTTTCAAACTAAAAATTAATTATGTTTTGGTCCCTTAATCCTGCAGTATGATTTCATAATCATTTAGTCCTCATTGGTAAATAAAATCTCTAGAGGTCCTTCATTATGATTTTCCTTATAATTTAAGACAAAGTAAAACAATTACACACAAGGACCTTTTATAAGGTCAATACTTCTTGGGGAAAAAGAAAAGCAAAAGAAGGCTTTAGAGTCACTAGTTAAAAAATAAACTATTGTAAAGCTAGGAAGAAAATATCTGACATCCTTACTGAGCACATCACCTTCCTTTTACAATTAGTTTAACAGAGTTTTTTTGCCTAAAACCAATAATTCCAAGAGAGAGTTTAGGAATGCTCCAATCCTTAGCAAACTTGCAAATCTAGCTTGGCAACACTATAAGGGAAGAGTTCAAGTTTGTACTTTAGATTTCCCTACCATTGAGTCTGTCTTCATAAATCTAAAGATCATTCCCATAAAGCTTGATACATAACTTCCAACAAGAACTCTATTAATTTCTCTTTTTGCCATCCATATTGTCTATCCCCTATGCAATAGATTGAAGACTAAGATATCATTGTTTGGTAGGGTTTGATTTAATTTTAAAGAAGCAGTAACTTCTTTAGTCTTCCGAATTGTGTCTTGAAATAAAAACCTACCTTGAAACTTTGAAATGAATTGATTGGGTAAAACCCTGATTTTTTTATGGATGCATTAATTCCTTTTCCACTAAATAAAGTTGACCAAAGTAATGATTTTCCTTATAAGATCAAGCCTCTTATCTTTAATTGGGTTAAGAAGGATGTATAGTACCTAACTTGTAATTCCTTTTTCTAAAGCTCCTTCAATTCTGAGACCTATTCCTCCAAACCACATAGCTTTAGTCACAGGGCATTTGAGGAATATATGATCTAAAGATTCTTCATAATGATAGCCAAAGCGGAACTAATCATGATTTTGTGAGTACCACCTTTTAAGAACATCCCTTGTTGGTAAAGCATTATGAATCAACTTCCAGATTGTTAAAATATGCTTTTAAGGATAATCCAATTTCCAAAGGAAGGACCAATTGTCATATTCAATGATTTTCTAAGAGGTTTTTCTTTTAATAAGTGAAGAAAAACCATCCTTAGTTGTATAGATATCCTTAGGATTTCCATTCCAAATGATTTTATCCTCAATATTGTGGAAAGGAATTGGAGTATTCAAAATTTCTTTCCTATCCTTTAAGTTGTAACAACTACTCACTAAAAAAGTGGTCCACTTAATTGGTGCCCAAGGAGTTGTTCTTTTTGAAATCAAATCATATATTGTAGAAATTTCCATTCCAACATTTCTTGCATTCCCAAATCTTTCCACCACGGCAAATGATAAATTAGGATTTTCTACCCATTCCTAACCCTCCATTTTAGTCTTGGAGTAATTAAATGAGCGTTGTCCTTAATACCTTTCCAAAACTAAAACACACTATAGGGAACTTTGAAAATTCCAGTTTTATTTGTGTCAAAATATTTAATCTTTAAAGTTTCACCTAGAATAGAACTGTCTTAGGAATCGATTATAATCCTCCAAAAGTGTTTATCT